GCAGAGAATAAAAGCCAGGTAGACCAAAGTATCTTGGCTGATTGTCACATTTACTGCACAATCCAAAAACATCAGTAAACTCAGCTATGTCTGATCAAAGGTCTGCTGACTCAATAATGAGATGAGCAAAAACAATCTGGCTAAACAAAATGGCTGCCTTGAGCAAAATGGCTGTCACTGTGAAGTGGCTCCATGACCCCTTCTGCCACCTGGACTGTGCCAGCCATGCTAAAAATTCTTCTTCTGCCTTTCTCTTGGTCACCTCTTCTTATTACTGTTTGTCACTACCTGCCCTAGATTCATTTCTACACATATGGATGATAAGTAGTGAACATGGAAATTTCAATTCCTTATATTTTATGTTATGTTGATTGTTTCCTGATATGCTTCCAAGTCTTTCTGTGAACTGCCTGATACTCAGAAGTTTCCCCCATGGACTTTGCAGGTCAGTACCTCAACTCAGTACCTCTGCACTTCAGTATTTCACCTTTCCTTAGTGCTTTACCTTTCTCAGGTGGCCTTTCTTCACGTCCTCTGATGTGTCATTTCAAGTCTCCTGGTTTGTCTGACACAGTTATATGAAGTAGTTTCACTACGTTACCCACTCTTGGGCATCCTCAACCTGGCTCTGTTCTCACTGGTCTTGTCATCTTCAAAAAATATCTTAATATCTACCCAGCAGGTCTGGTTTAAGCAAAAACATGATAATCACTCTTTGCCTATTTACTTCACCAGAAAACAACTGACTCATTTCACTGTAATTGACAAATCAGGGGATAAAATGTTAGTAATTCACAATCAAGTTTAGAAAATAACCTTCCATCTGGCTTGTTTTTACTGAAGGTTGGACATCAGGAATCACAGAGGACTTTAAATTCACCCCAGCTCTGCCTTCCATTTGCTTTCCCACTTCTTATTTACCCCACAGATTTAAAGAACTCCATCACTTTCTTAGTATAATAGCTTGCATTCTCTGGGTGTTGTTTTAGATCTAAAATGCCCTGCAAAGACTCAAGAGCTCATAGATGGGGTTTTAAAAATGGTTTATAGGTATTTTAGCTGACTTGCTCTTATGAGGTAAGGTCTGCTCAGAAGAGGTAGATCACTGGAGGTGAGGCCTGGAAAGGTTTATCTCCCTCCCTGGCTCTTCCCTTGACTCTGCTTTCTGGACACCATGCTTTGAGCAGGTCTCCTCTGCCATGCCACCCTGCCTTGGAGCCAGGGGAATATGGACTGAACTCTCTACAACTATAAACAAACCAACAAACAAAAAACCCTCCTCCCTTAAACTGTGGGTGTCAGGTATTTTGTTCCATCAATGAGAACAGTGACTAGGAGAATATACGTCTTAGGAAGAAATTACCATGTAACCTGTATAGAACTGTGTAGTACATTATCAATGACCTTAATCAGAGTCATAAGTGGTATAACATTTCAGAATGAATAATGCAAACAAAGGTGAGAAATGTGCCCTGCTATGTGTGACCCCACCATGACCATTTCAGCACACAGGACAAGACACTCTTCGAGGTTCTTGGTACCCTCCCTATCCTCAGGGCCACACAACAATAAGTGAAAATGTGTAACTGATTGTGGATGATTCTTGCACTATTCTAATGCCAGCAGCGGCCCATCCAAAGTCCCACAGTAAAAGGAATTACTCGTATCTGAGCTACTTCAGTAGCCAACTATAAGCTCTTATATATGGCTATGGAGCCCCTGAACAAGCTTAGTGCAATTACATTTTAAATTGTATGTAGTTTAGACAGTCACATGTGGCAAGCAATACTGTATTGAATGATACATATGTAGATCATGAATTATGTTTATTATCATACTGTTCGAGCTAAAATATACATTTCCCTAACAGCTTTTCCCAATCCACTCCATTTTTTAAATTTTGAAGATAGTACAATCTAACAAAACAAAACAGAACAAAGCCAGTCAAAACAAAGCAGCACAACTGGTACAGAACCTTAAGGCAGGATACTAGGAAAACAACAATAGCTACCATAGTGCATCTTGTTATCTTCATAACAGTTATCTATTACATCAGATATAGCAAAATCAAACCAAAAACAAAACAGACTAAAACCAATCAAAACAGAATACTGAATAAAAGCAAAAATAATTCATCAGAACAAAACAAAACAGTGAGAACAATACTGGATTTCAAAGACAAGATAGAAGGCAATGCTCCATATTTGCTATATTGCATATTGTCATCCTCCCAAGGGATGCTCAAACCGCTGACCCCAGACCTGCAAAATCAATCAAACAATACAAGTATTTAGTTGCAGGGTGTTTTGATTCTCAGCCCATGCACAGGTAGGCTCACGGGAGACCCACTCCATTTTTGCCAAGTATTTACTGGCCTCTTCTATGATGTAGGAGTCCCCTTTCCTTTAATTTAAGAAAATGATAAAAGTCAGTTCAGGAGTGAAATGAGAAGCAAATTAAGACTTCAGATATGAAGCTAAAAAAAAAAAATACTGGCATTATGCATTGAATTCAGTGGGTCTCATTTCCCCTGACTTGTGCACTAAATTGGTACTTTGAAAATTACCAACAGAATGCAAGATAGGCTGATGGGGCAGTGGGTGCTTCTGGAATGCCACACTTCAGGGCACCCACTGTCCTTTGTGAGGAGCAGGAAATGTCAATAGAAACCCCCTGGCAGGGGAGGATAATTACATTTTGCTTCCTACTCCTGGAAAAGCCTTTCCAGGGTCCACCCACCCAAGTTTAGTTTGCTTTCCAAAGAAGTTCTTGTGAGGAACAGAGAAACTATTGTTACTCTGACAACTCTCCTCAAATGAGGCTTTGTTTACAAGACAACCACTCTCTGAGAAAATGCTGAGCAACACTTGGGCCAAATGGTGTCAACTTGGTGGTGTTTACACAGACCCTTCTTTGAACGACCAAGAGAGAGTTGGAAAGGCCACTTATACCAAAGACTCAAAGTCCTGGAGGTCAGGATGATCATCCTACCCAAGGGAGGGAACAGCTAGCGGTGGGGAATTGTTAAGGTGTGGGGAGGTCCTCTGCTAGCTTGGCGGGGTGTGTGTGTGTGTGTGTGTGTGTGTGTGTGTGCTACAATGGAATCTGAAATGAACCTCAGAAAGCTTGGTGTTAAAGGATTGGTTGCAAGCTTGGGATGCTACTGACAGGAGGTGCGACTATAAGAGGAGCGGCCTAATGGGAGGAAGTTTGGTCACGGGGGCGTGGCCTTGATGAGGATATCAGGTCCCTTCTGCCTCTTTCCTTCCAGGCCACCAGGAGGCAAACAGGCCTTCTCCACCCTGTTCCTGCCATGATGCTTTGGGCCACCACAGGCCCACAGCAACAGGGCCAAGAGACCATGGACAGGAACTCTCAACTGTGACTCCAGAAAATCTTTTTCTTTCTTTTAAGTCGATTGTCTCAGGTATTTCATGACAGTGATGGAAAACTGATTAACACGCAGGAGACAAAAGAATCATTTCCAGTATCAGGAAGTGGCATCTCACAGAGCTGCTAGAATTCCCCTGATGATACTGGAAGTGCTCCCCACAGAAACTTGCCCACGCGACAGTTCCTCTGCAGTTCTGAGGCCAACCACACTGCACCACAAAACAAATGATTATAAACCAGAAAACCCAGCCCATAATGGAAAGCAAAGGTCATTTTCACAGACTCAAATAATCTCAAGAATTAGGCAATGGTTACTATTTACTATCATGTTCAGAGATATATATCCTTTCAAATGTCCAGCTCTTTGAGGCAGAGCAAAGAGAATGTCTAAGAACAGGGGCCAATGTTCTTTGTCACACACTCATCCTCTTGGTCTTTTTCTTCTCAAAACTGGCAAATTGGCTTTGAAAGCTGCTCAGTCCAAAAACCTTGGAGTTACCTTTGACTTCTCTTTCTCTCCGTCTTACAGCAAATTCCTTTGTAAATCCTGCCAACTCTTCCTTCAGAGAGCATCTGCGATTGCATTAATCCACCTCCACTTTGTGTCTCCCAAGCACTGCTGCCCTCTCAACTTGGTGTGGTCCCTGTGCCAGCCCATGTCAGACCATGTCATTCAGAATAAAATCTCAACTTGTGTTACTTCTCTGGGCTCCTCACCTCTACCACACCATCTCTTCACCATTATGTCCCAGCCACAGGGGCCACCTTGCTGGTCCTCAAATGCAAGAAACATATTTCTTCCTCAGGGCCTTTGCACATTCTCTTTGCTTTCTCTGAAATGAATTTCAGCCCAAACACTTGACTTATTCCTTCACTTCCTATAGGTCTCTGCTAAATGTCACTTCTCAGAGGGGGTTGCCTAGCAAGTTTATATAAAATATGCATATTCACTCACATACATCCTCCAGTCTCCCTTCCTTGCTTTGTTTCTCTTCATAGCTCTTAATACCACCTGCCATCTGATGTAGTTCATTCTTTTTCTGTCTCCTTGCACTAGAATACTAAGAAGCCCAGGCAGCAAAATTGTCTGTTTAGTTCACTGCTGTATCACCAGTACCTAAAACAGTGTTTGTTCAGCAGGTCACAGGTGCTCGCTGATCACCCCCAAATTCACTTTCTGTTTGAATTTCTGCACTGCTCTTACACAAAGATTTCTCTACATGGGCAACTTTTGTGACCATGTAAACGTTTTCATACGGCCTTCTAGCAAGTTATGAACTATTAGCTTAGCACAATAATTTACACAAAGTCAAGGAAATTAAGACAATTTCATTCTACGTAAGTGGCTGTGCACTGATAAAAATTCATGTGCATTCTCTGGCCGGTTCTCTCCACCCCGCCAGTTGTCTAAGACCCACTCAGGGCATCAAAGAGGAACAGAGGTCAGACATCACAGAAGTTCCTCGGCCACCAGGGCACAGCCCCAGTCAGCTGGGGAGTCCTCCAGGAGCAAGGCTTGGGTAGTAATGACAGACAGAGCCCCCATTCCCACTTCACACTTCCAGCCCCCAAAGAAAAATTTCCACTCCATCTGCCTATATCAAAGGGCTAGATTGGAAGGGGGAAAAAATAGAGAGAGAAAGAAAAAAAAGTCCCAGTAAGGGCAGACATCTACCTTATTTCTAGGACAAAAGTATGCATCTCCTGGATGACTCCCGTGCAATTTCTCCTACACGGGGTAATTTTAATTCCATCTCATTGGCTGCTTCAGTAATAGACAATGACAGTCCCAGATGCCAGGCCTTCGGCGTGAGCATCTGTTCTCCCCTGAGGATTAAACTAAGTGACTTAATCTTCAGGACAGCAAGTCCTCCACGGTCCTCACTAATGTCACGTGGGAACCACAGCACCATGGCCACTGTGGGTCTAGATGTGACCCTGAGCCTCATGCGGGCCTGTACAGAGCAAAAGGCTGGTAAAAGGTTGAAGAGCTGAAAACAGTTAACAAATACTGTACACGCTGCTGGCTGCCCGAGACCCATGAAGACCCATGTGCTCTTCTACTGAAACAGGCATATTTCCCAGCATAGACAGGAAGTGCTAGGGGAGCTGACAAGGACATATGATGGGGACACGGCATCCACATGCTGCGGGAGTGAGACTGTCTCCCACTTGAGGGGGTCACCTCAAGTTGGACTTAATTTAATTTCCATACCAAAGCAAAATTATTAATGCTGCTTCTTTCTCGGAAGAAGAGGACCGAGGGACCAACTCGACTGCGTGCGTGTATACCAGGCCAAGGCTGCACCACCGGTGAGGCTCAGCACGCAGCAGACAGCTGACACTGAGTTTCTGAGTACACAGTATCACAACATTGGTGAGTTTTGAAATAAAATATCGCCTCTCTGAGTCATACTGCTCAGAAATGGGGAGGAAAAAAACATTAGGAACTACTGTTCCCACAATACCTAGAAATAGAATTCATATCATATGATGGGCCTAATTAAGAAATTTTGGAGAGTGATAAAAATAAATAATTATGTAATTGGGAGGAAAAAAATAAGTTGTGATAACTTAGAACATTCAGATGTCACACAGGCCAGTGCTCATCCTACATGGAAATCTCATCGGTTTTCTAACGAAGATTTGTTCCAGTGCCAGTGGAAACCTGGTGTCACTACCTCCCCACTTAATGGTGATTTGTCTTGTAGGTACCACTAGACATCAGACATACACCATGTGCCAGACACCAAGGAGGACACAAGGACAAAGTCACAGAGGATGTTGCTTCCCTCCCAAGGATCCTAAAGATTGTTAAAGGGAAGGAAGGAGGGAGGAGGGAGGAAAGGAAGGAGCAAAGCCAAGCCACCATGAAATGGTCAGCTGGGGGCACGGTAAGGCCAGGGGACAAAGGAAATCAGGAAAGGCTCCAGAGAACTGCTGATGCTTGAGCTCAGTACTGAGGCTGGTCCAAGTAACAGGAACCAAGACATTTCATTCCAAAGAGGTACAGATAGGAAGCCAGGAAACCCAGTGAGCTGGAGCAAATCAGTAAGCATTGCATAAACCCAGTCAGTTAAAAAGGGGCCCATGGCTGGGTGCTAGTTTGGATTTTATCCCAAAGATGATGGAAAACCGCCAAAGACAGGCATGCTCAGTTATGCATAAACAAACCTACAACATCACTCATCATCCCTTTAGTTTGATGCCATTCTCCCCCTGCCCCCAGATGCCTCGGGCTCCCTCTGTAGGGACAGGGAGTGCGTGGGTTTTTTCAATGTATTCCTATTATCAAATGAACTATGGGGTCAGGGCAGTATTAAGTCAATCCTGAATAGATCGGTCAGTCAATTAAAACACACTCCCTGGAATGAGGGGCAAAGGTAGACTAATGAGGGGAACAGACAGATGAAGGAGGAAGGGGACAGCTGTGAGACATAATGAGGCTTTTATCTGAAGAAGTGGCAGAAGGAAAAGAGAGGAACAGGTCGCAGGAGGCAGGAACACAGATCTGGTGGGAGAAATGAGTGATGGGTTTCACCCATGTGATGCTCTGTCAGATTCAGCGTGGTTCCTGCCCAACATGGCTCTGCACCCTAAAGACAACAGCGCATCCCTTCAATGCTAACTTCTGCGTTCTTCTTTCCAGCCAAAATTGAACTTGCCACTCATGGTGCACACACCACCATTCCCCCAGTCAGCTGTCAAAACGTCACTGTGCCTGCCCCTTCAAACTCCACCCCCAGTCAAACTAAATAAAAATCCGCAGCTTCTTTGTCTGCCACAGAGGAACCACCTTGCACTCTTCTGCAACCCTCCCGTGCCTGCAATAAAAGCCTTTTTCCTTTTTTCTTCTTTCTCCTCTTGCTTCTCTACCATGCCAAGGAAAAACCTTTCAATGAGTGGGTGAGAAACAGAGGTGCTGCCTAGAGGTCTGATCTGGACAGGACCAGGCTGAAAGCACAAAGACGCCAAGGGTTTTCAGCAATTCAAGAACGGGGTTACTAGGGATGGCAATGGGGGTGTGAACTGGGCTGCAGATGGCTGATCTTGGGAGATCTGCAGATCAGCAAAGGGAGCTCTCCTTTCCTACCTGGGCCCACATACACATACAGAGACTGGGCCTGAAATAAATATGGGGACCATGGCAGAGATCACCAAAGGGGCTATAAAGCCATGGGGGAGGACATGGGGGTCTGGAGCTAGATTTCAACTTAGATGTTGTGAAAACCAGACTCCTTTTACACCAAATGACAGCCGCCATCCAATTCATGGTTACTACCAAAAACCATCATCAGAAAGCAACCACTGATCTTGTGAAGTGATTTGCTACAAGCATTTCAATTTCAACTTTAAAGGTTGCTAATAGCTGAAGTGTGAACTAGACTCCCCTCCATACAGGAAGAAAGCAGTCTGAATGCTATTTGGTTCCAAAGCAGCTGAGGCCAAACACACACAACAAAATTCACTGCCATATCAGATGCAAGGAGGGCTACTGCTGACTCTTTCCTGACAACTAAGACCCACTCGGTTCTGAATTTCTGCAAGAACAAGGGAGCAGATTATAGGAAGGATAATGAGCCTGTTTAAATGTCTAAGGTGCACCTGGCCCTCTCAAATGGCAAGTAACATCACCATGTGGTCACATGCCTTCCCTGAGGCTCTTAAGAGAAAAAAGACCACTCAGGGAATTCTGAATGAATAAAATGAGTTGCTGATGCAGAGGAAAATGAGAAGCAGCTACAGAATGATGCTGGCAATCATGACCAGAAAACCTAAATTCATTCGTTTCATTCCAATTCTATTAACTCCTTACAAGTAAAATGCCTATACAGGCTAGTGGGGGAGAAGAGGGAAGCTCTCTCATTACAGCACAAATTGCAACACCCTTCAGAATTACTACACGCAAGGCAGCTAAGCCTCCACCTGTGAGCCAGCCGGAGTACTGACCCGGGAGAACCTGGAAGGAATCTCCGCCTGTGAGCCAGCCTACAGCCAGTAGTCTGGGCAACTATTTAGAGGACAACATGCAATACAGTGACTATTGTAGATTCCCTACTATCTTATCACTGTGTCATTTCATTTTATTGTTGTTTTATTCCTTTAAAATAAAAATAAATACATTTAAAAAATAAAGCATACAAAGTGAAAAAAATTACTATACCCTTGAGGCTGATAAGAGGACATGGGCATTATTACAATCTAGATTGCCTGCTTTACTGAAAGACATAATGTCAGAAGCATTAGCACTATATGTTTTAGATACTAAAACAATAAAATTGGCACCTTTCTGAAAGCACAACACACAATGGAAGCAGCTCTTGAATTTTTTATTTTGAAACCAGATCACACATATAGAACTCCGTGCAGCTTTTGGGTTCAGAGGAGCTGGTCTCCATCAAAAGGATGACATTTTCCACTGATGCAATGGGGAATGAGTACTCAGCCAGACATGTGCCTTAGCACCACAAGAGTCAACAACTCGAATTTGGCTCTGAAAGAGCAACTGTGGGCCTGGATATAACTCCATGCTACTCAAATTACTCTCAGGCATCCTGGGGTCCTCTGAATATTAAAAATTAGCTTTTACCATTCACCAGGAGAAGAAACAAACATTACTCGCTAGTATAACCAGGGGAAGACACTGGGAGACAGAGAAAGAGCCAGCAACTCAAATAAATAACCAGAACTGGTTACTCTGAGAAGCCTAGCAATCCCCACTGTGCCCGGAAACAGCTGTAATTATGTTTCCCAAGGAGCCATGTCTGCTGAGCCGACTTCACCATTTTTATCTGCAGCTCAAATCCCTAGCTCTCAGGTGGGTGTGAACATTTCTCATGGTCTAAGTGTTGCTGCCTGGGTACAGCAAGCTGGTGATATGGAGTGATAGGCAAAGGTAGGGGAAATTAGAGTTTATGTATCATCTTGGACATTTAAACACATTTATATATATATAAAAGGAAGAAGGATCCACACATGCAACCCCAGCACAGGACTGACACAGGATTGCAAGTTTAAATCCCGCCAGGTCAAATTAGCACCACATTGTTTCAAAAATAAAAATGCTCAGTGTTAGAGCATCCCTAGGTTCAATCCCCAGCAGAACAAAAAAATGAAAAAGGAAGACAGAAGCAATGGTAATTCAAGTGTTGGCGAACCAACGTAACTTTGTGATGCTAGGAGTGTTCCAAGTATTTCTACATTGTCCCAACGTGGCAACCACTGGACACATGGTGACTGAGAACTGGAATCATGACTCAGGAAAGTAGGGATCTAACATTTTGATATAATGTACATAATCCTATATGGCTGTTTTGCTACCTTATACTGAATAATGCAGACTCAAGGGTATAACCCACCTTCTTTTTCAACTGTCTTCCCCTAAAGGAAATACTAATTATAGAACATTTTAGGATTGTTTTTATTATGCAAAGTGTATATCTTTAAATATCCTCAGCAAAAACCCAAATGTGTGGCAGTGTGTCTCAAAAACGTGTGAATTAATTATCTTAAGAGTTCAGCAGATTAACCACATTATAGGCTAAGAAATTTTTCAAGTAAAGATATAAAATCATTATGTGAAAGCATATTCTTTAGGTTTACTTCTCTCAAAGTAAGAGCAGATATCTCAAAAAATAGCAGTAGCCTGGCTGATAAAATGTGGTTTATTATCATACGGCTTTTTACAGACTTAAAACCACAACCAATTCCTTGGAATGATGTCGTGAATCTCGGGATTAGTATTGTCACATCCAAGGACTTCAACTCTGTTTGGATTTTAGTTTTGTCTTTATCTTGTCTCTTTGCTGAGGTCTTGTTGATTCCATTAGCACCTCAGCAAATCCTGATGGATTTTTAGGCATTTAGAGAAAACACTAAGCTTTTAATCACCATATACAGCATTTTTGGACTGACTTCTGCATTATACTGTTCTGAAAAGTTTGAAGATAGGTCTAAGCCCCAAGTCATGTTAGTTTTTCTTGACAATGGTTTTGCATAATGAGCTTCATCTCCAACTTTCCCCCGGTTTTCTTCTTGGAACAGATAAAGATGTTCTCCTTTTCCTTATGAAAATACCAAAATAAGTAAAATTACAGAAAAGCTACTTTCTTTAACCAAAGCACATCTACACATTATAGCATTTATGCAGAGTTATCTTCTTTAATCAAGTCAAAATCATCCTTTTTAAAGTACAGAAAGACAAATCCTCTCAAGTGCACATAAAGTCATTCATTATACACAGAAAGGCATAATAGCAGGTGCATGCTGATAAGCATAATTATTTTAGTGAAGGCATCTTCTAAGATTGTAGGTAATAATAACATCTTGTTTTATAGCAATGTCAAAAAATGCTCAACAGGAGACAATTTTTCTGAAATTCTTTTCTAGGATGCAAATCTCTTACTTTGAATCCTCTTTGATAGAATCATTTCTAAATACGTTCATAATTCCTTGATCTTTTTAAACTTTTTATCAAGTATTCATTGATTTTACTGGCATGGCAACACCATTCCAAGCCTGCGTCTGCGTGGTATTACACTGCTAACTTGTTCAAAGCCAGAACTTTGCTCTCAGTTTTCACAGCTTGCACTGTCCTGTGCCCAGGTTCCAGTTTTCTGTCTTTCAGGAAAAATAGCAAAGCCTGTGCAGGCTAACTGAGTTAATCATCCTTTGGGCAATAAAGCCACAGAGTAAAGTACACAGTCGATGTGCAGGATTTCTGCCACTGACGCATGACAGTTTCCATCTCCTTCAGCCCTCTTTAGAGTCTCACATGAGCTGAAGGAAGCTGGAGAACAGGAACTGTTTTCCAAACAGCAGCTGATGTCCAAATTTCAATTAAATTAAGTGTGCAACTTACTAGAGTTAGAATTAAGAATGCTAGATCACTCTTGTAATCATCAGAGAGACAGGCAGCTCACTAACAGCTTAGATGCCTCTACCATGTATCTGCAGTTTTAAATGTCAAGGACTTTAAAGCTCACAGCAAATTTTCTCTTCTAGCTGGCATAATTTAATTTTGACTTTAAATTACATGGTACCAAGACCATTTTGGGGCTCCTCTGAGAGACTTTCATGTCAGAGGAAAGTAGGGACCTGGGCTGAATGTCTAGGTTGTAGTGAAAGGAGATTCTTCAAATGCAGGGCAGAAAACAAGTCTGAGTTCCACGGCAAACAAGTGCTCTGTGATTAAAGAAGGCGGTATGAGTAGAGAAGTATGAATGCCACCAAAGTCACAGCTTTGAAAAACCTTCTAAGACAATTTTATTATCAGTTATTCTTAATAAATATTTTGTTTCTCTTTATACTTCTAACACAGAACTGTCAAGAACTTTTCTTGATACAAAGTAGTAGCGCATTAGTATCACATGAAAATGATCACATAAAGTATCACATAAAAATTCACTGTCAACAGAAGCAGCGCTTTCTGTATTTTACTCTTCTTTGTGGAAGTTATTCCAGAGTACAGCTTCTACAAAATGAGGAACAGGAATGGGGCCAATAAAACTCAGCAAGCAGTTCATGAACACGTTTGAGGGGTAAAGTCCAGGCAGTTGGCTTTTCTATTTTAAAAATTATTAATTTACCACAGTTAACATTTGAAGAAGTGTGTGCAAACAAAATCACCAAAGTTTGGGTTTACTCGTTAACTTGGTCATGCCGCTTATGCACCAAATACAGTGATGAAGTACAGACATCATGCCCAGTGTCCGCCTGGTACCACTCAGCCAGTTGGATCCAGCATGAACTACACAGGCTGACACAGGGAGCTGGGAGAACACACAGAAAGGATCATCTCAGCCTGCACATGAGGAGGCAGTGAGCTGTTGCTGAGCTGTGGGAGAGCA